AGACCTGGTGGCCTGGCAGATAACCTAATTTAAATTTCTAAACTCCCCCTGTAATCAAGGAAGGCTTGATTCAGTTGCCTAGACATCGATATGTATCCACTAATATCTTAGATACTGCAGGGTATCCTGCCTAGCCTCTATCTCCATCTCCAGATGGCCACAGGTCTCCCATAGATGTTGTGTTGTATGTACCATCCCTACAGGCATGCCTTAAATTATTTTGGCCATCTCAGGTGGCCTGTGTTTAGGCAACTGAGTTGAATCTGGGATGAGTGGTCACTGGAGTCACTGGAACCAGCAGAGAGATTCAGCTGACAAAATACAGGTATCTCCTACAGAGTGAGCTCAGGAGTTCTCTAATCCTGGGGGCTAGATCCTTATTGACTACAATGGGAACTGAAACGCTTAGCTCACCTTGTAGAAACCTAAATGTAGGCAATCTGAATCCTAGTGAATATGGAATGAGAAGGAAAAGGAATAAGCAGATAAGCAATGTGATCCTAAAAATGAGTCTTCTATGTTTGGATCAGAGTTTGTTTGCCATGCTGACAGTGTACAGTGTAGTTTTCTGCTTCATTTTCCTTTTGTTGCCTGCATTACCTTCCAGTCCAGAATTGTTTTCATATATTATTACCATCCTTAGCTACCTAATTGTGCTACTAATGAATACAAATAATCCAGGCACCAGGCTTTTACAGACCCATTTCAGTGTATAAATAATGATTTGTTGTATAAGCACTCATAATGGGAGAAAGTAACTCACATTATGGAAGATATGTGCTGAAATGTAAGTTATGAGGGAAGCGCTGTAGTCAGTCTATAGTAGTCTTTCGAATTATGAAAATATATTGCCATTTTTGCGCCATCAAATTGTCCATGATGAATAGGTATGAGACATTCTGAGCCCAGTTTTTAAACATATTTACTTACATTTGGAACTTAGATTTCACATTTTTGAGTGTTCATATTAGCACTATAGCACATGAAATACATAGTTGGCTACCAAATTGCCTATTTGGATGCTTATGTGTGGGGTTTGGGCACTCAACATTAAGAATCTGCATTTCAAAATTGGATCCCTTGTGCTGGAAATCCTTGAAAATGATGCTCTATGGTCAGCCTACTGCAGCATCAATTGAAGTGCAATTTGAATGCAATATAGTGCTTCCAATTGCTGCTTCAGAAAGTGTTATGCTGAATCTGGAACACTTTGCATAATTTAATTAATTATGCCACTAAAAACTGATTTTCTCTCAATTTAAAGCAAACAGCTTTTATGAGGGTGAACTGCAGCACCCAGGGATATCAGGTGTCCAAGCTTTTAATCCTATTACAAAGACTTGACAACCACTGATGGAAACTGGAAAACATAAGCCTCCAGCAGGGCAACAAGTGAAGAGGAAGAAGGCAACACATTTTTAATACTCTTTGAAACCACTGTATGCGTTAAATCAAAATCAAATGTAAAAAGTGTCAGAACTGGAAGCTTGCACTTAATGGTGCAGACGGTGAGCGTCTAAAGAATAACGCTTATTTCACTTTGACATTAATGAAAATAACTGTTTCCTCTAAGAGGAAAATTGTTAAGTTTAACTAACATAAGAAAAACACAGAAAATGGCCAAGACTATCTGTATCTATGTCTGTCCACTTAAAGTGTTCAAGAGGGCAACAGCCTGTAGTTTGAAAGTGGTTTCTAATGTTATGGATTAGATTCTGTCTGTGAATCATTTTTGCTGTAAACAAATCTTGACAGACGATGCCAGACTACAAGTATTAAAGAATCTGTCACTGACTAAACACTAGCTTCAATACTTCTCTTTCTGAAGCTTGTCTTCTCTTTTCTGATTTATTATTGGTTTTGGTATCATTCTAAAACAATGGCCACTGTAATTTTGAGGCAGAAAAAAAGGGGTCCTCGTTTAGAAGAGCTCTAATTTCTGCCAGGACTCTGAGCCATGTCGTAAGTGCCATAATTGGCAATCTGTGACTGCCCATGCAAAATTCTGTGACCAGGTTACGAAAGGTTACAATGGATTTGGCTGGACCTTTATATCAAACAGCAATTCGTAACATGAAATTAACTGTACTCTAGATGTGCTAGCTAATAAATAGAGAAAATATCTCTTTACAGGGAAATTTGACCAGATTTGCCAAATGCAGAAATCTCCCTTGATTATTATATTAACTAATATTCATATACCTATTAATATATTGTATGTATTGTATGTATTTCTATGAATCTATAATGCACATGAGTATTGGCTTATTTTGATGGGAAAGTAGGAAAAAAATAAAGGATTTTTAAAATGATGACCTTATTAAGAATAATATAGCTTTACGTGTAGATTAGAGAATGTTGTTCCAGGTTTGAAATACATTTTACGGACTAGATATCCTTTTCTTTGAGGGGTTTTTAATAACAAAAATGAATATCCGAAAAAGAAATTTCAGGGGAGCATGATGCTAGGAAAGTTTCTAGCTACAAAAGCAAGACATTCTGGTCTAGATTCGTCTTACTTAAGCCGTCTAACTCTAAACCGTTGGTGAAAGCTTCTTCTGCAGTTACTGTAAGGACGGAGGCATGCCCAGAGTGCAGTTGTTCCATTTGTCTCTTGCGGTCATTCTCTCTTCATTTCAGTCGGGCTCAGGCGTTTCCTGATCACCAGGCAGTGCTGACTTCATCTGAATCGCAGCATAATCACGTTTGCGTTAAACCAGCCAGTGCAGAGCGTCTGTGCTGGCTTGCAGTTAACTGCAGCAGGACAGACAGTACCAGATCCAGCAAGAAATTAGAGCAGCGTGGACAAGCAGTATACGCCCTTACGCGAGAATTGCCAGAACAAAGTTGTCCCTTCAATTTTTTCTTAACGAATGCAAAACTTAAGATAGGGCTTATTCTGGTCCAGTATTTTACATTATATAGTACCATTGTGGGGTGTTGCTTTTTAATTAAGCCCTAAGTGTCATGAAAAAGGCTTTATTTTTTATGGACATATAGCCTAAGATGGGACGAATGACCCATTAGAATTACCTATCTTCTTCTATTGAATATGTGTCTGCATTAGCACCTACCTTTTAATGAAAATTAAGTGAGATGATCTCACTTTTTGTGTCTACCTCTCCTCTTCAGTCATATGTTTCAAAGGATAAGAATTCAGCACAAAGGAAATGTATATGTCACAGTGGCAATAAACAGATAATTAGTGAAAAGAAAATCAGAAGGAAAAAAGTTTTTTTCCAGCTAAGGTTTAGTTCCTTCAGTTATGTTTGTTTTTGAGTCTCTGACTTCTCAAAATAGAAGAAAATGTTTTCACCTATCAGAAGTGATGAGATTCAAATCATGCATTAACCAACTCACCTACGTATATTGTGTAAAGGTTATGACAATTTCTTGTAAAATAATAAAAGTATCTTGTATAATTAATTCTTTTCATTGTTTCATAAAATTGCTTTGTTTGATTGCAGGAGAGTTTGGACTGAATTTTCATTACCTACTTCTGAACAATTTACATTGGGATTGAGACAGTATAGAGCTAATGAGTTAGAATTTATATTGAGTCTTAACTGTCTTCATGAAATTACTAAGGAAAAGAAAATCATGGCAATAATGGAGTATTTTTCATTATAAACTGTGTTGTACAGCTTTTACAATCAAGTTTTTAATAGATCTAGAGAAATTAAATTGGAATTCTACCAACTTTTATGCGTTTGTCATCCCATGAAAATGGTGTTTCAAAATGTCAAAACTAACGCACTAATCTAGTTTCTACTAGAGTAAGTACGAGATGGTATTAGCCCTGTTGTTGTTCAGGCCCTATTGTTCATTAAAGAGTAAAAAAATTATAAAAATTGTTCAGAAATGTACATTTCACTGTAATCCCTGATGCTAAATGCAATCTGAGTATAGATTAAATAGGTCTCGAGTGGGGTCACCCTGAAGTCCTTATCAAGAGAAATTCCCACGAAAACTGAGGAAACTCTCAAAGTCAGGAAGCAGTCATATATTAGTGAAGTGCCTGTTAATACTGCTGAGAATCCATGCAAATATAGATATTTTAAATACATTCAAACATTATTTATTGATTATAGTAGTGGATATACAAACTCATACACTGAATGTATAGATTTCTTTGTATGTATACACATACATATACTCATTCCCAGCATTAAACAGTAATGTACTATGAATAATTTAAGTTTTCGGTTGAGAATATTTTACACTTTTCATTATATATAAATGCACAAATCAATAGTTTTATATGAATTCTTATTATTGTTCTTCAACTGTATACTTTTGTTGAATTTTGTGGGAATTTTTTATTAAATCTGCAATAGTGGAAAAGGAAATTTCTTAAATGTATGAACTGTTACTCATCTCAACAAATATTTGTCCACATTCTTCCTCGCTGTTAGTCAGTTCCACTAGCAGGAGACTGCAGGAATTAATAATTTCTTACATTTTAATTAATAATATGAAACAAAAATACAATAGAAATGTGTCTACCAAGCACATATGCATGCACGTTGGTGCCCTCAATAAATTAAATATTTGGTTAATTTGTTTTCATACACAAATACAAGAAGAAATATGTATACAGTTTAAACTTTAATTGGCATAATAGATAATATTCTTTTTTTGACATGTTTCAGTCAAAAATCTTCTCCCACATATAAAAAACAAGTATATATAATCTTGTATCCTAAGAACTGCAAAAGTATATATAAAAATAGTAATACATCAGGCACATGCTTCACATTAATGGACATAACTATAATACTTCTAGATCTATGTTCTGACTCAAAACTTAAAATGGTATCCTTACCTATCTTTTTCAAAGTGTAGAAACAAAATAAAGAAACCCTTCTCCCAACCAACATATTCCAAAAAAAAAAAAAAAGCTTGCAAATAAGGTTTAATTACTGGCCTTGCTTGCAAATTCAGATATTGAAGATTTGGAATCTTCCTTCATCCAAGTAATATATATTCATTCCCCACAGGCAGCAGTGATGGTTCTTGGGATAAAGAAAAACTTCAGTCTCCCCCCACCCAAGGATCACAGGCCTCTGTTAACCACCCCAACTTGCCTGGACAGCATAATCTTCCAGTTAGCCATCCTCTCAACCCTCTGCAACAGAACCACCTTCTGCCAAATGGTACGGGTTGACATCTTTCAGCACTAACATCAACAGTTTTCCAACTCCTCTCTTTATTTTGTATCAATTTACATAAATAGGCCATGCAAAAATCAAAGACGTGGGGAATATTGTAAAAATTTATTTAAAGTATTAAGCAGGGGCAACAGAAGTGATAAAGAACAAATACATAGGCAATAAAATTGATATTTAAAATAACTATTAACCTGTGCATAGGTGGCATAATAATGCATTGCTAAGGCACCTTACAGCAGGTATTAAAAAAGATATTAAATAGCGATTTCCTAGCAATGATACATTACAACATTACACAAATATGAACAAATGAAGAGGCCTAACAGCCTCTCATTGTGTGTAGAAACTCTCCATGGATACTAGCAATTTCCGCATGCATATCCCAAAAGTGAGCTGATAGCTAGCAGCTTTATCCTGAAAGGTGAACTGTCTTGTCGCTATCACTTCAATGTCGTTCATCAATGAAAAACATAAAGTCTATACTTTAAAAAGATGTATAAACCTATTTCTGTGGGTTTTTTTCTTTGTTTTTCATTGTCAGGACTGGAACTTCCTTTTATGATGATGCCCCACCCACTAATTCCTGTCAGCCTACCTCCAGCGTCTGTCACGATGGCAATGAGCCAGATGAATCACCTGAGTACCATTGCCAACATGGCAGCAGCAGCACAAGTGCAGAGTCCTCCATCCCGAGTGGAAACATCTGTTATTAAGGTAAATACATACACATATATATATAAAATTCTAATGCACTTGTAACTGCCATAAATATCATAAAGGTGGTGGGTGGCTATCAGATGTTGTAAAGTAAGTGGTAAAGTCAATATAGATGAGAAACCTAACTGCTGTAGCCAGTGTCACCTCCCTTCTCCTGCCCTATCTTAATTAGTATTACATAGGTGCTCAAGTTAAAGCATTTTTCATGCAGAATATAAAACTTTGAATCTGAGTTCTCTGAATTCATAGCCTCTCATCTAATGGCATATTCCTCAAGAAATCAAGGAAGAAATTATTCCCTTGTTAAATTAAAAGGGACCAATCTAGAGTCTGTCTGTTCTTGCAGTGTGTAAACCTAAGCATTTGAACTGAAATGCTGCAAGGTATCTGGAAGAGGCTGAAAGGCTTGGCACTGTCTTGGTGCAACCTGAATTGCCAGGCCCTAGAAGAGATGCAGTAAAACTGCACGGAACAGACCTGATGGTCTTCAGGCCAGAATTGTAGTACTGTAAAGAAATCTCGGTCTAAAAATGGCTTTCTATCTTAGATTTTGTATGCTGCGTATAAGTATGGCAAATTAGCCCTTTCTATGGACTACATTAGATCTGATTATAGAGGTATTTAGCAGAGGCATGGAGTCTTCTCTGAAGACTGAAGATGATCCGTTTTCATTATAAATGCATTTCTCCCTTACCACAATTAATAGCAATATTAAAATTAATATTAATTTTTGGGATTTGATTTGACACTTATTCATGTATTTGCATTTTACCTGTTAGCCTTTCTCACTTTGAATAAATGAGATACAGAAAGTGCATAAACTTACGGGTTATCTGCTCTTAAACTTGCCATTAGCAGCTTTGCATAATTCACAAGAGGCAATGGACACAACTGGAAACACAAGAAATTCCATCTAAGCATAAGAAAACACTTTTTCACTATGAGGGTAGTCAAACAATGGAATAGGTTTCCCAAAGAGGTTGAGGAGCCTCTATCCGTAGAGGTATTCAAAACCTAGTTGGACACATTATGAGCAACCTGCTGTAGCGGACCCTGCTTGGGCAGCGGGTTAGATCAAATGATCTCCAAGTGTCCCTGCCAGCCTTGACAATTCAGTGATAGGCAAAGGCAGGGTTATTTTACATTTTAGGGCTACATTGGAATCCTGTCGTTTAAGGCAATCCCTTCAACAGGAAGTGTGTAAACATGAAATCTGTTGGACCTTTAAAATGAGAGCTGCGAAAGTATTGCAGTTCTGGGTGGCTTAGGCAGAGTGAAGAAATCTGAGTTTACTGAGATGTTCAATATGCTTGTGTTCCCGTCCTCTTTCCTGGTAACTGGACAAGGCCAAAATTATAAAGAACCATTCAATTAAAAGTTAATAAATCTTTGACTCTATGGATATAAAAAAATAAGGTCCAATGACCTAATTTAGGTACTTTGATCCTGTGGTGGTTTCTACATTTTTATTTTCTTTTTTCACTAGAGCAATATTTAGTAAGAGTTACATGATTCTGAAGTTGTTCTCTGGAACATAAGCAGTGCTGTATTTCACTCTAAATTTATTTTCTTAATTGGAGCAGTGACTACTGGTATTATATAGGTATCTAAAAAGCAAAGATTGGGATTGAGCACACACTGAATGACATATTGGGAAGCATGAATTATTATGGCAACAAAACTTTGTTTTCATTATTTTTCCTACCATCTTCCCTGTCTTTTATCATCTGCAAGTTATTTTATTTTGTGTGTAAGAGTATAAAATTTGATCTTCACTGCCATTTGGAACCTTCTGTTTCTAAACTTCGATATGTTGAAACTGTTTAGGGATGTCTATGGGAGCATAACCCACTGTGACCCCTGATCTTTATCTCCAGTTATCAAAATCATTGGAGTACAAGATTACACACATCTTGTACATTTGGAGTACAAGATAGCTCCTAAGCTATGAGAAAAGGCTTGCTTTTGTGAAGAGCGGGCCATGGGAAGTGGGCTTGGCGTGTTCTCAAATCTCAGCCTATTATGGAATCCTTGCTGGACCCTAGAAGCACTTAACTAAGAAGTGCTCCTGGCTCATCTAATCTAAACCTATCTAATGGGTTTAAAAGTATGTGACTCTGAAAGGGATACTCTGTCATCATGTAACTATGTAGATTTTTTGTTATCGTCATGGGTATCCAAATATATGGGGTGAGGCTACCTTGTCTTTAAAACCAACAATCCCTTTAATCAGCTCAAACGTCTGCTGTAATAATGTCTGTCTCCTATATTTTAATGATATGCAGCACTGTAACAGAATATTTTCCTTAATGTTTTTCATATCCCAGAATTCCCTAACTGCACATTCTTGTAGCATATATAGTTGGAAAACTAGTTTCTTTCTAACCTAAGTGAAGATTTTGAAAGTATCTAGTAATTTTGGTTCTCTATTTATTTGAAATGTTTGTGCAATGTTTTGTAACTGGAAAATCGTATACATATACATATATATGTATATTTTACTCTTGACAGACTTATGTTTATGTTAATAATCTATGCTATTTATCTGTGACTCTGTCACTTCTGAAAATTCAACTATCCCATATTCATACTAACAAAATCTTCATCACAGCAGGCAAATTTTGTGCAGCTCCTAGCATGACATCTTATGCAGATTATTTAGCAAAACTGATTTCACGTTCTCACCTAGTTTGCACATAGCCATAAATGTATAAGGTGTAGATTTATCCTTAAATGTTTTTAAATGGAAAAATGAACCTAAACTCTATTTTGAAAATTGTGCACACTCAAAAGTGGAACATGTATTTTTTTTTTTTACAAATATGTACAATTAAGTTCAGCGTTTTAAGGTATTTACATAGAACCTGATGAAAACATGAAGTGTCTGCTATGTCTTCTTTGGTTGAGCCTTGTAACATATTGACAGCAAAAGAATTATGCTAAAGGTAAATATATAAGAAAAGCGTTAATCTGTTATCCAAAACTCACTTCTAAATGTAATACCTTGCTGTATATAATTACTTCAGTAATAATGTAAAGACTTAGGAATTGCACATATTTTCCTACCCTTTCCTTCAACCCCTTTGTGGTATGGCATATGTCTAGTTTATGTCTTCTGTTCTTGTCTACAGCACATGAATATGGTCATGTGGATAGAAATAGCATGGCCAAGTGATTAT